GGTCATCCCTGCCCACATCCAGAGGTAGGAACATTGCCTTGACCCAGGGTAGGAACACTGGATGTGTGAGCAACTGGTGCCACTTCAATCATTTCTTTTAATCACAATAGCCAAACCAAATAGATCTGTCTCTCTAATTTTGTAAGCACCTTGTGTAAAAGTTCTGTATTAGGTAAAAACCTAGAGACAGACTAGGGAGGATTTATATAAGGTGGTCCTTTATCACTCCATCTAGTTAAGAAGTCATTCTACAATGAGTAGTCTTAAATTTTCCAAATGAAACTAAGAGAAAAAGGAGCCCTAAATAGGGTAAAGCTCTACAACACTTACAGACACCAACGTACAAATCTAATAGTTATTCTTTTACTTAAAAATCTTCAAAGGCTCCCATTTGCTAAAAAGATGAGGTCCAAGCTTCTTGGCATAGCCTCCTGTTGTGGTCTTCAGGTTCAGGCCTCTGCAGAGTACACTACTGGCACAGAGAGGTAGAGCCCTGAGAAAGCCTTCCTATAAAAAGCTACTTCTAAGCTCGTCAAGTAGAGAAGGAGAGGAGGAAATCTTAGGCAGAGGGATTACCACTGAGTAAAGGCCCTGAAGACAGAAACCTACGGTACATACAAGTAAACACAAGCAGCTAGGTATTATAGAAATGAAGTGTAAGAGAGGAAATGGCAAGCTATCGAAATTTAACCAATTGAAAATCATCAAGAACCCTAGAGTGTACTCAGCAACAGCGTATCACAAATGTGACTTCAGGCTTCCATCTGTAAAGTCAGATAATTTAAAAGAATGTATTTTTTCTTCTATTATTTTTACTTTTCAAAACTTGTAAGTTATACACACACATACACGCACATTACTTGTTTAAAAAATCCTACAACAAGTAAGGGTCAAATCAAATCCCCTTTGAGCTTTTTAACACCCCAATGCCAGAAGCAACCAGTCTGGCATGTATATTCTTTCAGACCCTTTACTATACATTTATAAATAACGTACCCACAAAACACACAGTATTGCTTTATGTTCAAGAGAGATCCATATAAATGGCATACTTCAGTTTGCTTCTTTTACTAGGCAATGTTTTGCAAGTCTATCCACATAAACCCAAATAGATCTAACCCATCCTTTTTTATATTATGGTAAACATATACCCCAATTAAGTTAGCCATTTGCTTATATTGGTAATTTATGTAATGAGAGTATATTTTCACTGAGCCACTCAGAGTCTGGCAATGTAGAAAGTGAACAGTAATTCTGGGAATCACATACACTCATCTCCAAAGTCCAGAAAACACTGTGGCTTCTTGGTGACAATAGTTTGTTTTCAGCTTAACTGATTCCTCTTATGAAACTGAGCCAGGCTGATAATTCAGAGAAATCCTCAGATTTGTATTCCAAATGAAGCCGTAGAAAATAAAATCATGGTAAACACCTGTAAAAATGTGTGAATCTCTTCTGAAATTGTAATTTTTTTTTTTTTTTTTTTTTACCAAATAGCCCTGGATATTTTGTGTAACCATTATTCCACTGAGCTCAGGGCATAAGTATAGTATCTACTTATCTGCTCAAATCACATAACCCACTTGAATCCAGGTACTTGATCTTTCTTAATTAAGTTAGTAACATTTTTCTTTTTTGATGAAATTTAATAATCACTGCACCTGATATCTTCTAATGTTGGTAAGAAAATACAGTTTTGAGAACCCATGAGGATTCAGCAAGTTGAGTCAATTCAAAATGGTTCCTTGATTTAAGGAAAGAGATCAGTAAATCCTTTAATCAAGTTTTCAATTGTAATAACGTAAAATTTTAATATCTACATGATCAGTTTTACTGTTGTTAGCTGCCGCTGAGTCAGTCCCCAACTCGTGGAAACTCCATGCACAAAGAACAAAATGCTAACCAGTTCTGCAATGTACTCATGATGGGTTGCTGATCCTGACTCTTGTGATCCACAGGGTTTTTTCACTGGCTGATTTTCAAACACAGACTGCCAATCCATCTTCATAACCCATCTTAGTCTGGAAGATCCGGTGAAATCTGTTCAGCATCACAGTAATACACAATCTACCACTGACATATGACGAGGGGTCATGGCTGCATATGACATGCATTGGGTCAGGAATCGAACCAGGGTCACCACCATGGAAGGCGAGAATTCTACCACTGCACCACCAATGTGGCTTTAGTTTTTTTTTAAGTACAAGTAGTCCCTGTATTACAAACGACCTCCATTCCTAAATCTGTCTTTAAGTTGAACTTTTACTTAAGTCCGAAGAGTTAGGTACGGTTTGTATCTAACAGCAGTGAGTCAAATGTTTGTCTTAGTATGTAGTATGTAACTTTCTATGCATAAAAACATTAAAGAAACACTTACAGATACACTAAAACATCTTTAACAAAATAATACAGTAAGAATAATGTTTTGATGTGTGATATAAAGTAGCATCCATTTGTTATTACGAACCATTGCATGTACCTTGAATTTTTAATATAATAGGCTTTACAGGGATTGGTTCATAATTAGGGGTTGTACGTATGGCAGACATTCGTAACCTGGGGACTGCCTGTGTACTATAGGTTCGCAGTGATTAAGAAGACTATGAATATTAAGAACATCCTTTTTGTGATCTCTATCATTTCCTCTGTAATCTCATATACTGAATGTGACTTGAAAAGGTCATAGCCCAAAGTCTTCTAAGTAATAATTTGATGAACTGTAGATAAACCAAACTTCTCTTTTGATTTGAATAAACTTTTCAAACCAAATTTTCATTATATATTGCTTCATGGTAAAACAGTTAATGAAGCCTCTCAGGTTTCTTATTTGCAAATAGCCCCTACTAGTTCACATAAACTAATTAATCAGATAAAGACTTGGGTTGGGGGCTATGTTTGTTTGCTTCTGTGTTTGTTTGGGGAGCAGGTAAATAACAAGAAGTCTGTACCTCAGGCAGGGCACTCTAATCAATGGTTACCTGTCCTGTGTCCTAATGTGGGAGGGGCCAAAGTAGTGAGGTCGCTAGAGATATGATTTCGAGCAGCACTATCCAATAAAAATACAATGTGGGTCACAAACGTGAGCTGCAAAAGAATTTTTAAATTTTCCAGTAAACATACTAAAAACATTTTTGAAGGTAATATTAAATTTGTTATTGTTAGGCGCCATCGAGTCAGTTCCGACTCGTGGCCACCCTATGTACAACAGAATGAAACACTGCCCAGTCCCGCGCTATCTTCACAATCATTGCTATGCTTGAGCCCATTCTTGCAGCCACTGTATCAATCATCTCATTGAGGGTCTTCCGCTTTTTCACTGACCCTCTACTTTACCAAACATGATGTCCTTTTCCAGGGACTGATCCCTCCTGATAACATGTCCAAAGTACATAAGGTGAAGTCTTGCCATCATCACTCCTAAGGAGCATTCTGGTTGTACTTCTTCCAAGACAGATTTCTTCATTCTTCTGGCAGTCCTTGGTGTATTTAGTATTCTTTGCAACACCTTAATTCAAATGCATCAATTCTTCTTTGGTCTTCCTTACTCATTGTCCAGCTTTCGCCTGGATATGAGGCAACTGAAAATACCACGGCTTGGGTCAGATGCACCTTAGTCCTCAAACTGACATCTTTGCTTTTGAACACCTTAAAGGGGTCTTTTGCAACAGATATGCCCAATGCAATACGTCCTTTGATTTATTGACTGCTACTTCCATGGGAGTTGATTGTGGATCCAAGTAAAATGAAATCCTTAACAACATCATACTTTCTCCATTTATCATGATGTTGCTTATTGGTCCCGTTGTGAGATTTTTTTGTTTTCTTTACGTTGAGGTGCAATCCATACTGAAGGCTGTAGACTTTGATCTTCATCAATAAGGGCTTCAAGTTCTCCTCACTTTCAGTAAGCAAGGTTGTATCATCTGCATATCGTTCTTCCTCCAATGCTGATGCCCTGTTCTTCTTCATATAGTCCGGCTTCTCAGATTATTTGCTCAGCATACAGACTGAATAAGTGTGGTGAAAGGATACAACCCTGACACTCACCTTTCCTGACTTTAAATCACACAGTATCCCCTTGTTCTGTTCGAACAACTGCCTCTTGGTTTCTGTAGTTTCTGCATTTAGAGCACTTTTCAATTCAAACCAGTAACATTTCAAGGGCTCAAAAGCCATATATGGCTAGTGGCTACCATATTGGACAACACAGATATAGAGAAAAAACTAGGAGTTTTAAAATTAACACGGACCTAGGTTTGAATTCTAATTCCATTATTCACTAAGCTGTGTAACCATGAACCAGTTATGAAAACTCTCTGAGCCCTGCTTTTCTTATCAATAAAACGAGAATAACATCACCTGCCTTGCAAATTTCTTATAAGAATTAGAGATAATATATGTAAACCATCCTGCCTAGCACATTACAGGACTCAATAAAAATAATTATCATCCTCACCACCATTATATAGACTGAAGAAGAAAAAGTGCCATTGTAAGAAAGCTCAAATTCAAAGTGTAAAAAAGTGTGAGGGAGAAGATTAGAAAGCAAAACAAAAACTTTAAATAAGATTATCAAAAATTTTTTAACTGAAATTTAGTCATCAGTCAACTATTATCCATCCCAAATGAAAACAAACAAAAGCCACATTTTCCAAAATTGTGAATAATGCCAAAATAAGATATTGCTATAACTAGAGATATGATGGTTTGGTATTTTGTCTGCTTTTTGCTTGTCTGTTTTTGTTCTTTTTGAAAGCAAATTTTGATTAATATTGCCAAGGCTAATATTAGCTTTCACTTCTAAGGGGGGAAGAATGCTGAAAAGTAGGAGGTTATTCAGTGGCACTGAAATAGTATTTTTGGATACTAAAAATGCTTACAAATAATCTATAAAGACTATATTATCCATACTGATAACTGAGCATTCACTATATAATATGTAATAATCAAACTTTTCAAATAACTTTCAAAATGTAATACAGAAAATATATAAAACATACCTCTGATAAAAATGTTTGGGCAGATTTCTGAGCTCCTACATGGAGCAGATATTCATATACGTAGAGTGCTAACCTAGAAAATGAATAAAACATTTATTAAGAAATATTTAACATTCATTCTTTAAATAATGCATACCTTTCACTTGCAAAAATATTTTATACCATAACAGTTACAGAAAATCAGCCCTTCCCATACCCTTTCAATGGAAGTTTATACATATATTTTCAGAACACTCTTAAACCTAATTAGAATAGCACATAAAGAAAAACACAAATACATCTTTTCTTGACAAGAAACACCTAAATAAGGATTTTGTATTGAATCATCTCACTTATCCTAACCTCAGTTCCTTTGTTATATCTACTATAATTAATAACTTATAACCAACCACTAATCCCCCTATCCTATTTTAGGGTATAATTATTATTTTCATTAGCAAAATAAATGAATTATTTATTGAATCTTTCCAACAACTTTATGTCCTTCAGTCTTTTTGGTGCAACGTAATATGAACCCAAGCTGTTTACAAACCCATATATGCCTAAAGGAGTGTTGAATGTTCATTTTAATATTTGTTCAGCAAGCTCTCCTTATCCTCTTGGTTTGATTGTTAAACCAATATTTTCATTTACAAGGCATTCAAATTCATAGCAAATCACAGTATTAAGTAAACTTTAAAGATATCAGATCATATTAAGCATTTGTTGCTTATAGTTTAAAGGTTAACACAAAATTATATATAAATTTATCACTCAAATATAGAATATTAAGTGTGTAGTATGCACTTATACTACTCTCATTATCTGTGAATTCACAAATTTAAGCTTCACCATGTGGCTCAATTTCAGCTGAGCTGTTAACAAAATATTATTCATAAACTTAAAAATTAGTTTGAGGCAATATTTTTAATGATATCTTGGACCAATGCCCAGATAGCTTACAACAGTTCAGTTTCTGCTACACTATATTTAGCAATATTGAACCAGGTTTACAG